TTGGTCTTGTTCTATTTCCGGACTAATTCTGCCTGGGGCTGTGTTAATCAGAATTCGTATTATTGCCAAAATGATAACCTACGCTACGGATTTTATCAAATAGGTCCTTTCATAAAATACATACTCTCTTCCCAAGGCAAGACACAAGAGCATATCAAAAATATATTCTGTTGTTAAATGAGGTAAGAGATAGATTGTTAATTTTATCGCCTCTAGGATCTAAACTGCTCTCTTGTAATCATTTTAACACACGTTTTTTTTTGCCTAATGGTGTTAACCTTCAGAAGACTACCTCATAACATTTACTCCAGCTAACGTTTTAAGCTCATCGACCGGTGAGAGCTAGCATTCATTTTTATCTTATTTCTTAGCTAGTTTCGGCTTACGGCCATATCAACTTGAAACAGTAGTTCTCATACTATCACCGAATTTAAGCAACGTCGAGCCTGGTCAGTAACTAGAGGGGTGACCGTTTTTTTAATACTATGTGTTGTAAGCTTGTATGTCCGGATGGTGTAATGGATAACGACACGGAATTGGAAATCGGAGAGCTGAGTTCCAATTCAGGTTGCGTTCTTTATAATGAATTACACGCAAATAACTTTGGAAAAGGTATGAATCCATTTCTTGCCCCCCAGTTATGAGTTAATTAGCATGACTTGTATCTCTAAGCCTTTATTATCTTAAGATGAATTTTTGTAATCTAAAAATATTTTGTGGATTTAAATAACCTGGAAAAGTTTGATAAACCGTAAAAAACCAAATTAGTCAATCAAAAAATTAGTTAATGTCACGAAAATTGATACATATGTAAAATAATGTTTTCCTTGGATATTATTAATTACTAATTCCTTTTATAGTATTAATTACTAATTTTGAGTGATTTCGACATATTTCTATAGTTTCATTATAGTACTATTTTGAGCTAATCCGGTGTAAGTTAGGGGTGGCTGAAAGTGAAAGCCTTTGTGCTGTGTAATTTTTGAGTAAATTTATTAAATTTATTATAATAAAAATCTGGTTTGGTGCCCCTGCTATTCACCTGGTGGTTCTTGACAAAATCCAAAGAAGGATCTGCAATATAATCGATCCTGACCTGGCATCTCGACCTCAGTCACGTACTCACCGACGTTGCATGGCTTTTCTAGAAAATTTTTTTTTTTGCCTGGTACCCCAACTACATGGAAATAAGCGTGCTACTAGAATGACGTCTAGGCATCTAGGTCCCACCCGTTTACTGTTGAAATAGCTAAATGAAACCGCCACTTCTGCTTCAACAGTTTCGAACACTTTCCGCCTGTGAAAGGCCTTTACGTTTACTCGCTTCCTTGATAACTATCTATTATAAAAAAAAAAAAAATAAAGGCAACGTTAATCACTATCTTCTGTCTTCTTGAATCCCGTTCATCTTTTGTCCTTTCGTTAATCCTCACTCTACTCAGTTTTTTTCTTTTCATTTAAATCTCTGTAATCCCCTGCGAACTAGTAGCATTTCCGCCTTGCCTGGGGCGATACTATTAAAATAAAAAAACTTTTTAGAATATACCAGGATTTGTTATTGGAGTTTTTGGATGGCAGAGCATGGAATGGAGAAATGGTAAAGGGACATATTGCTTAAAGTATAGGCAGCTGTGAAGAGCTATTATCGTTCACGCCATTAATGGACACGACAAATCGAAGAATGTTAGAAGAAAAATAAGGGACATAACAGTTCATCTCAATTAGAAATAGGAGATAAATGAAGTAAAAGCAATTATATATTGGCAATTCTGTCGGGAATGCTGTTGTCCGTGCAACAACATATTTTTGTAGTTTCTTCATAGGAAAAACCAACCATATATTTATTCGTTATACGTCAATCATTTACAGGGAATGCTGGAAAGGAGATATTGATTATGCATATAGAACATTGAAGGATACACTTGTAGGGTGAGTGATACTGGCTCCTTTAAAGAGTTTAACTAACAGATTAAAATCCTATGCCCTTGAGAGACTGTCTGATAATCTTCAAGGCACTTCACTCTGACATTTTAGCTATCCACAATAGCTAGTATAAGTCAGTCACTGCCATGCGTGATGCACGCTTAGGCAATCATGTATATTTTGATACATGACTGACGAGGCAGATTTTTTTCCCGTGGTAGGTTGCCATTTCTTCCTGCGGTAGACCAGTGGCCATCCAAGTCTATGGAACCAGGTCTGTTCTGCTATTTACTCATAGCTAGGGGAAGAAGAAGAGTAGTCATGCCTTTCCCAAGGGTATAAGCACGTAAGTGAATGTAATAGATTCGACAGGAATTTGAATTGGGAGAGACAAAGTTCGAATTCCAATCGAATGCATTACATTCACTTACGTGCGATCAGAAATTAATTTATTGAATATTTTAGACGTAATTACCTATAAAGCGATTTTTTGAGAAATTCTGCTAGCCTGAAAAGAAACATTAGTTTCTAGTAATTCTGACGTATTTTCTCAGTTTCTTCTTCTTCTTCTTCTTCTTCTTCTTCTTATTATTATTATTATTATTATTATTGTGAAATTATTATCATTATTATTATTATTATTATTATTATTATTATTATTGTGAAATATTTATGTATATATATTAAATATTCAATAAATTAATAAAATGTAAGTCAGTTATCTGGTTAGACGACACTTGAGTTTTGCGTAGAAAAATCAATAATAATAATAATAATAATAAAATATATGTCCCTTATGAACATTTCAACGTGAAACTCACGAGGTGGCTAACCAGATAAATATCTAGAGCTGTTTTTGTTTATTTATTGACTATTATAGTTCGAATTATCTATTGAGCGGGTTTTAGAAGTTCTATCAGCCTGAAAAGACACGGAATATTCACGTAATTTTCACATATTTTCTCATTTGTATTATTATTATTTATCACGCTGCACAACAGTTGAGCGTAATATTTGTGAGTGCCCACTGTAAGAATTTAATGTTGTTTTTGATTTTTAGTGTTGGAAGGGACATTGTAATTCATAGACAATATTATTTTTACATGTAGCTCAGTGTTATTTTTACATGAAGCCCAGTGTTATTGGTGATAATTAAATTAGATGTTGTAAAGTTTTTATAATAGATGATAAAACTTAGGAATTTCTTAGGATCATTAAGCACCATGTACCGCTGAATTATGTCTTGAATTGCATTTTTCATCCTGTTTGTAATTAGTGTGCATTTGTTTGAGATAGAATAAATTAATGGTGTGTTTATTCTTTTTGCGCCAAGAAGTACTTCACTTTTACTAAATTACTTTAAGGCTAGTTTTATTTGTAGGTCGGTTAGAGAAATTATTGTTTTATTAGGGTTTGTTTAATGTAGCTAAGTTCCTTATAGAACATTAGGTTGTATCTCAAACACTAATAATAATTAAAAAAAAAACAACATTAAATACTTAAATTGGGTACACATGAGCTACACCCTCACGCCGATTGACCTGCCACTTGTCGAAACTTAACGCAATGCATACACACATGAATGAATACTAAGATGCTGACAAACGAGTTAAAATTACTACACAGACAAAACATCAGTTCTTGATAATGACTGATAAGTGGAGAGAACTTGAACAAAAATAAAAAAAAAAATTTAATAAGAACTTCGGACAGTTTATCCGTAATACTTATCTTATTCGAAAGTTCGAAAAGTATAATAAAATGTTGAACAGACAGACCTTGTCAGTTCTATTCAATAAAACTTGTTTGGATGAATAATTCCTGTCCAAATGTACGTTATATATATATATATATATATATATATATATATATATATATATATATATATATATATATGCGTGTGTGTGTGTGTGTTATTTTTGCCAGAGTTCAAAAAAGTACTTTCGTAATTATATTAGACATTTGAAGAAATATGAGACCAGATAATAAATTTCCCAAGTCACAATTTTAAGTTATACACCACTGATCCGAAGGCAGTGCCAAATTACACAAGAGAATATATTTCAAAATCTATAATTCCAAAATATTCAAGAATTCATCGCGATACCGTGCTGGTGTGTCGTGTATGTACATGTGTGGGTGTGTGTCTATGTGTGTGTGTGTGTGTGTGTGTGTGTGTGTGTGTGTGTGTGTGTATTTGCGCACGTGCATCTCAGTGTATTCTGAGTGACTTCCTTCTCGCCACATTTAACATCATTTTCTACGTATTGCGCCTCCCTGGAGTGGGATGTCTGGATATAAAAATCTTGTAGCACTTTCTGTTCCACCGACCTGGTGTGTTTGGGAAAATATTAAATCTACTTTTTATTGTCTTTGACACAATGCCATTGAAATTGGAAACGTTGGAACAACGTTGAAATAACTGCAACGGCGAATATCGATTGATTAAGAAGACAATTTACAAAGGAACAAAATAGAAATGACCAAACAAATTACGCAAATTTTCCCATTTTTTAGACTAGTCAGTGCGGAGAAAAATCCACGTTAATAATATGTGCGACGAAAACAAAGTATAATTGACACAATTACAATTGACATAACGAGAATAATCAATGCTATAATAACAAAAGGAAGTTTTACATATTACATTATTTAATATTACACTTTATTGAGATTAAAATATCATTATCTCCCCATCTTAGTTTCGTCATGTCTATCTGTTCTGGATTCCGAGATTAATCCGGTCTCCGAAGAATGACAAACGCAGGAATTAAATATGTATTTACACAATAATACAATTGGTAATACGGTTAGTAGCTCCAGAAACGTGGTTAATATCAACAATAATATATATACACAGTCTGGTAAATCCAGTCTCGAAGTAGGACTTCCTTAGAGTCTACGTGCTTGTAACTGTGACTTCTACAAGCGGTTACCTCTCACTATTACTCTACCTCTAACTCAATCACAATCTCTATCTCTTTACTCTGACTGACTCTGGGTATTTAACGGCAGCAGTCCAAGTACACACTGGTCGAGTCCACTTGTATGAAAAAAGGGGTGGACCCCATAACACTATGTCGGTATATTCATATCAGTCTGTCTCAGTTTATTCATATTTATCTCAGTTTATACATAGCTGTTTCAGTTTATTCATATCTATCTATCTATCTATCTATCTATCTATCTATCTATCTATCTATCTATCTATCTTAGTTTATTCATATCTGAGTTTATACATATCTACCTTTTTCTCTTTTTTTTTATAATCATTTCATCCCAAGCAAGAGACACAAGAGGCTACAGAGAGAGAAGATAAGGGAAAAGACTGGGTATAGAGTGGATTGGGGAAAGAATAAAAAGATGAACGGAGAAGGATATAAATAATAACAGGCATCAAGGTATCAGAAGATATCGATTGTCATTACATTTAAATCTTTGAAGATTATAGTTATCATGGAAGCAACTGAAAGGAGGGGATTTCCAATGTCAGGAAATGCCAGAGAAGAAGCTTTTGGAGAAGAGGCGGTTACATTTAACTGTTTCAACAGTAAAAAGATGGGACCGAGATGCCAACCTAGTAGCACGCTTAAATTCATGTAGACGGAGCACAGTGAAAATAGTTCGTCGGAGCAAATGGCATGAAAATATTTATAGAAAAGACAAAGGGAAGCCATATTATGTCTGTGAGAAAGTGCCTAGATTCGATATCCCAAGTAAGGATCAATCACAATACATATTCGCCTATCTGATTTATTCGTATCTATCTATCTATCTATCTATCTATCTATCTATCTATCTATTTGAGTTAATTCATATCTATTTCAGTTTATGTATATCTATCTATCTCCGTTTATTCATATCCATTATAGTTTATTCATATCTGTCTCAATTTATTCTTAATTATTTCAGTATCTATCTATCTATCTATCTATCTATCTATCTATCCTCTATCTATCTATCTATCTATCTTTTATCTATTTGTCTCCGTTTATTCATCTATCCATCTATCTATCTCCTTTTATTCATATCCATTATAGTTTATTCGTATTTGTCTCAATTTATTCTTAACTATTTCAGTATATTTATATCTATCTATCTATCTATCTATCTATCTATCTATCTATCTCTATCTATCTATCTATCTCCTTTTATTCATATCCATTATAGTTTATTCGTATTTGTCTCAATTTATTCTTAACTATTTCCCATATTTATATATTTATATCTATCTATCTATCTATCTATCTATCTCCTTTTATTCATCTATCTATTTGTCTATCATTTCAGTTCATTCTATCTTACCTATCTCACTTATTCATATCTACCTCTATTTATTCATCTATCTATCTATCTATCTATTAATCTTCTAACAATGTACCTATCTCACTTTATATGCCATTGACACATTGACGGTAGAAGACAGAAAAATTAATCTATAGGCACCCCTAGAAAATATAGTAAAGGAAAAAGAAAAGAAAATACTAACACTCAATGGTAAGAAAACAGAATGTATGATTGTCCGCAAAACGAACAGACCAAGATGTGAAATACAAAATGGAGACGCCTAAATCACGCAAGTCCAAATACTTAAAAATCTAGAAAGTGCTTTAAGAGAGGACGGAAACTGAGATATTGAAATCCGAAGGCACAGCGTAATTGTGAAATGTGCCTTCCAAAATCTAAGCAAAGTATTAAGAAAAAGGAAAATATCGTTAGAAACAAATAAATGTGTACTGGGCTGTTATATTATGTCGCTCCTCTTATATGGCAGTGAATGCTAGACAATCTCATCACAGAGGAAGAGACTTGAGGCAATAGAAATATAGTTTTACAGAAGCGTGCTGAGAATACCATGGAATGAACATGTGAGCAACGATGAAGATTTCGATTAAATAGAAACAAAAAAAAGGACACTTACACTTGGAATTAGAAAGAGGCTACGTAATGAGGAAAGTGGGCTAACAAAAATGTAACAGTCACAAGACATGTTGATGGCAAGAGGAACAGAGTAATGCAGCGAATGACCCAGCCAACGAAGTGGCTGCCAGAGCGAAAATTGATAGAGAACGCAAAATAACAAATATTGCTATGAGCTGCAATGGACAGAAAGTTATAGAGACGCAGGTTCATCGATATATATATATATATACAAGAAGAAAAAGCAAATACAGAGAAAAACTCGATTAGAGGTCACTTTTTTAGTATTATATACGTATAAGCAATGTGATCAGTCATGACTTGGGGTATCGACGCCAGCCACATTCTCACAGACGTAAAGTGGCTTCCCTCTGTCTTTTCTATAAATATAATCATGGCATCTGCTCTGACGAGCTATTTTCACTTGTACCCCGACTGCATAAATTTAAGCGTGTTACTAGTTTGGAATCGCGGCCCCAGCCTTTTACTGTCGAAACAGTTAAATGTAGCTGCCTCTTTTACTCCAACAGCTTCTTCTCTCGAACTTCCCAACAGTGAAGCTCCCTTTCTATTAGTTGCACCCCTGATAACTATAATCTTCAAATATATAAATGTAATTTAAATCGACATCATCTGTTACATTCATCTCCGTTCTTCTCTTTATCCTTTACCCAAAACCATTTATACCCAGTTTTTTCTATTATTCCTCCCAATGCTACATTGCGTACTAGTGGCACTCCTGCCTGATTGGGGTAAATTACTTTATATATATATATATATATATATATATATATATATATATATATATATATATATATATATATATTTATGCTCTACTTTTTGTATCGAGCACTATTTTTTTAAAATAATAACAAAATACTAAGGAACTTTGTAGTTTACCTTACCAGTTCTTTCCTATTTTCTATATAATTTCACACACACACACACACACACACATACATATATATATATATATATATATATATATATATATATATATATATATATATATATATATATATAATTAGAGATCAAACGCTCACGCTACATTAGTTTCAACCTTTTCTGCATTTCCTAACACGTGTTTATTTAAAATAAATGAACACACAACGTGAAGTAATGGAAAGGAGAGGGGAGAAACCAAGGATGACAGTTATAAGAAATTAACATATTTCATATGAACGTTCTGAAATGTTAAAAAGGAACTCTGACCCATAACATTTTTTTTAATTATATATATATATATATATATATATATATATATATATATATATATATATATATATATAGTGTGTGTGTGATAGGCTAATTTATTATAAGTATAATTAAACACAAACATTTTTTTACGAGTTATTTAATTGTTATATGTTGTTGAAAGTGTCTTCCTTCTATTTCAAAAAACTTTTGAATTCAGTGCCTGCATGATTTATTAACACGTCGAAGAGATTCAAATGCTGCCACAGAAAAAAATCCTGTGTATGAGATCTGGTGACCTCATTCGCTCAACTGAGCTCTTCGATTTAATCCCTGTGGTACGCGACTTTGGCTTCATCTTGTATATATATATATATATATATATATATATATATATATATATATATATACATATATATATATATATATGTGTGTATTATAAATTAATTGATTTAAATGGGTTTTTCATACAAAGTTGGAACTGTGTTTCAAAAATGGAAGCTAAAAGTCTGAATTTAATTTTGTAATTAAATTAAAGACATTAGTTCCATTTCATCCTCAAGCGAATTTTTAGAGTAACTTTTTAATTACTGGGATTTAAAGACACAGCAAAATTCATAATTCACGTTTCCAAGTATACAAAGAAATACAATTCAATCAGACAAGGGCTGTTTGCGTGTTCATTTAACTTTTTATTTATATATACATACATACATACACATCTATTATCTATCTATCTATCTATATATATATATATATATATATATATATATAACTGACGTCGTTTCAGTTATGTCCATTTTGTTTTCATTTTCTCTAGAACATCGTTTTTGCTCACATGTTCAGCCTGTAGTATTCTCAGTATCCTTCTGTAGAACCAGAAATTTGTTTCTTCAAGTTTCTTTTTCATTTGTAAGAAAATTGCCCAGCATTCACTCCAATAAAGGAGAACTGTTATTACAAGACAGTTCATTAAACGTTTCTTTGTTTCTAAATTTTTTAAGTTTATAAAACTTTACTTAGCTTTTGGACGACCGGTTTCGCTATCCCAATTCACCTTCGGATTTCAATGTTACAATAGTTTAAAGTGTCGGAAAACGTTTGGACATCCTCATAATATTATATATAAACGTGAGTGTGTGTATTTGTATGCGTTATCTTTTTGTATGTGTCATGTATTTGCTTTTGTTTACATCTTAATATAAATAGTCAAACACGCAGAAAGATATATATGGGAGGAAGTGTGGGTTTGTAAACAGTGACTATTACGGCTAATAATGCATTCATCCCTGCAGTGCGCCAACGGCTCAGTGGTAGAATCCCCTACAGACGCCAATTAATTCTGGTTTCGATCCTAGCTAGAGGCAACGGGAAGCCTACCAACACTGATGAGCTGTGATACAGTGAAACAGTCTTACTGTGAATGACAAATATATATATATATATATATATATATATATATATATATATATGTTATGGGACCTTACTCATAATAACATAATGGACTATTCCATATGTAATAAATCCTTCGCCTCAAGAGGAAGCAGGGGTTTCAGTCTGAAGTCGGACGATCGGCTGACCGCCGGTTGAACTCTTTGCCTTCGGACGGGGAGGAACCGAACGAGGCTACGCCGATGGGCAGAGTCTGTTTCGGGGAGGTAAACCGACCCTGAACCCGTTTATAGTGGTTCAAAGGGTATATCCCACGTTAAACATGCCTTGTGCCACATGGTGCCTTCGTGGTGGGGGTGACTAATTACTGTTCAGTCTGAAATCTGAAGTGCAGTCTGAAATCTGGAGTGAAGTCCGTCAGGAATCTGTCAGTCAGAGCGAGCGAGTCAGTCAGTCGAGTCAGAGGTAGTCCAAAACAGAGTCGCGTTCAGGCAATTACTACTAAACCTGATTGTTCGTACTAACACTTTCCACTGCTCTGTATATATTCCTGTTTGTAATGTATCTGTGTTATTCCATATCCTTGTTCGAGTTCTTCTTTATTGGTTCTACCTCGGGCTATCACCAACTATCAACCAATAAAGAAGCTTACGGTCAAATCACGCTGAAACACCGGTTCTCGTTCGATCACCGAAGTTAAGCATCGTAGAGCCAGGTCAGTACTTAGATGGGGGACCGCTTGGGAACACCTGGTACTGTAAAGTCCAACCTTACCTCACAGTCGGTGGGGGTGTAAACGGTAGTGTCAGAGCTATGCCGCCCGAACTTCGTTCCTGGTAGGCCACCCAAGGCGGACAGGTCTGACACACGCCGGCTAACAAGGGCTCTGGTGAAAATCCATGAGCGTCTGCATCGGTAACCGGCGGCTTCTGGTCGTTCCTGTCTCTGCGTCTGTGGGAACCCCGCGGCAAGCAAGAACGTTATCCGATATCCGAGTAGGCCTGGGTACTCTACTTCTGTAATTTATCCCAAGAATCTTCTTCTCATAACAGGAAGAAGCTGGCCTCAATCCGCCCAGGGTGAATGCCGCATCAGCACAGTACAGTATCACCGTGGTACAAGGAATAGGATCCATAATATATATATATATATATATATATATATATATATATATATATATATATATATATATATATATCGGGTGTAACAAGCAAAATTGTCCAATTGTTACGTTAAGATTTAGAACCGTTTTAACTTAGAAAGGATTTAAGATATCTTAGTAGAATTTTCCAAGGCTTTATAAGACTATCGGTCTCTACTTTGAATAATAAAAATGTATTTATCTCTAAGTGGAAATGATAATCTCTCTTCCTGTTGTGACTTCCAGATCCAGTTTTCTACTTTCATTCTACTGTTCCCTCCTGTTTAAACTTATTTACTCTTCTCTTGATAAGTTTCGAATGGACTTTGAAGATGGAAGCCACAGTATGGAAGATGGCAGCGTTGCTGACGGCATTAATGGTCTTTTTTCTCTCGCAATTGCTCAGTTGAGAAAACGTCGTGGGGCTGACACAAAAGACTTTAACCTATTCTTTTTCTAGTTGAATAATTCAAAGGTTTTCTCAATGATTCTTACGAAAAATGTTATCAAGATGGTCAAATATCTGAAAAGTTGGAAAAAAGAAACTCATTGATTTACTCGCTTTTTAGATATTAAACATTTTGTGGAGTGGACAATTATCCCATGCTGTTACGCAAATTTGCTGTTATATATATATATATATATATATATATATATATATATGTGTGTGTGTGTGTGTGTGTGTGTGTGTGTGTGTCTGAAAAAATATATAGAAAAAAGGAAAGAACTCGTTAGGTAAATAATCCAAATTTCTTTAGTATTTTTGTTATTATTTTTAAAAAAAATAGTGCTCGATACAAAAGTAGAGCATAAATATAATTATTTATTTAAAAATATGATTCCATCGCTACATAAGAGTTCTCATGTTTCAAAACAAGAGCCTTGAACAAAATGAACAAACAGAATTTCGTCATTTGACTTTACCAAAGCAAGTGATGATAAACAAAAAACAAATGTTGTGTAGTTACATGAAATTCAAAAATTCAAAAAATATATTATGAGAAATTTAACACATTGACTATATGGAAAACAAAAACAAAGTTTTAGTGAAAAAAAATACTAAAATGCAAAAAGAGGCTTACACAGGAGCGTCGTTTTTATAACTTTTTTGAATGTCATCTAACATTCGCTTTTGTTTATAATCCTTTGCCTTGATAAAGTCAAATGACGAAACGCGTCGTCAAAGGCAAAGTACTATTTTCCGATTGCCTATCTGTTTTCAATTTGTTTTCACTATTATTCTGCGTAATTTCACATGCACATATTATAAAATACAATGTGCAAATTGAAATACATTTTTTGTCTCAGTCTTCATAAAAAAAAAAATTTGAATTATATACAAGAGGGCTACAAATTGCCTCATCTAATATACCTCTTAAGTCTTAACGTTTCCAGATTTTTCCTGTCCAAGTACACGATTACATTTCATTTTCATTGATTATTGTTATTTGTCATACTATTTTGTACACACACACACGCATGTGTGTGTATGTGCGTGTGTGTGTACGCGCGTTTGCCGAAGCCGACCTGGTGTACAAGTCGACCTAAAAGATTTTCATCTCAAAAAGTTGACCAATCCTAGTATATATGTCGACGCGCAATCATACAGCAGGCTACCAGTAGCCCAAAATTTAGACCTACCGCTAAATGGAGTAAAACGTATATTTAATAAACTGGCATTATGTGTCATTCAACTGTCATTACTACCATGAAATTGCGCAGATGACAGGCATACCATATTTAGTCGTCTGAATAGCTGCCTGAGTTAAAGAGTGCCTCGGTAAGTATTTACATTTAATGTCTCAGCTGCTGGACACGATTAGTGCTCTAGCGTTAACAGGACATTGAATTTTTGTTAATATTTTATTATTTTATATTAATTTCTGTGTTAATATGCCAAATATGTCAACCAAACACAAATTTTAGTGGAATATATTTGTGGTAGCTTGCTGGAGTTAAGGTAAGTGGTGTACTGTAATTATTAGGGGTGATGTCCCACTTATTTAAAGGTAAGATGACGGCGTACAAGTCGTGTTTTCAATTCTAAAATTTCTTCCAAGAATAAGAGTTGACCTTATAAGACGAATATAAAAATATTCGCCTTCTAAGTCAACCCCTATATTTGGGGAAAACATTAGACTTGAAAACTCGACTTGTACGCCTCCATTTACTCACCTTTAAAGTACTAACCCATGACTAAGGTTACAATAATCTTTCTGTCTTGGCTTACTAATTAAAGCCTCTTTTTATCTCTACGTTTTCTATATAGTCTTTTTGTTTTCTACTGCATGTACTAATCAATTGGACACCAATCAAACAACCTTTGAACCTATCGCTTATCGCTGCTACTTGATATGTGTCCTGTTCACCTCAATTTTTCAATTTAATTACTTTTCATATTATCTCTTATCTCAATCTGTTGCCTGATCCCCGCTGATCTCTTCCTGTCTATTGATATGATGTATTACTCTTTCTAATGATCCTTTTGTTGTTGTTTTTTAGTTTCATTTTTCAATCGATTCAGTTGAATTCTATGTTTTGCAGCGTGTACCAACGCTGACATTAAACATTTATAGACCACGTAACATTTGAAGCATATTGGCAACATGCTTTTTCTTATATCTGTATTTATTAGATAAATGCTTTCTACCCAGTGGTTATCGATGGGTTTATTTAATTTCTGTGTCCTCTATTCATTGTTGTCACCTGCTTTATGGATATTTATTCCTGGGTTACTACCAGCTTTTCATCGGTGTTTGTCCGGAAATTTACAATTGAATATGAGTTTTGATTACACTTCAGTTTTAAACCTATCAATACGCTTTCATTATTTAGATATTTAAGCAATAGTTGTAATTCATCTGATGATTCCCATATGTACCGTTAGATGATATATAAAATAAAATTATAAAATAACCACAACGACAATGGTATTAGTCATTCTGAATTACTTTATAACCGTACCAACACGATACTACAAATACAAAAACACCTTGATCCCTGGTCGCTCAGCTGTTTAGATAACACTGGAATGGCTACCTGTGGAAGTAACCCATTATCTAATGAGGCCTTCCTTTTATACTCTACATGACCTATTCCCCTCCGGCCACATGACAGATCAACGTGGTCAGTTGAAGGTTTGCTCCAGAATATGTGTGTGGTTGCCCTCGTATTTATAGGGGTACAGTTCGACGTGCTCGCGTATCTCGACTGGATTGGTAAGTTTACACATTTCCTTATACCGAGGCCAACAATCAACGAATAATGTCCAGTCGTTGTCCGTTGTGTTGGGTTCAACGCCAAGACGGTCTGCTTTCTTTGTGTTGGACTTTTGCGTCGCGTTAGGGGTCCCGTCGCTCCGTAGCGCGATAGATTCCATTTGTAACTCTATCATATATTGCATGAGTTGAGCAATCAAATCGAGATTTTCGTCTGGTGCAGATGCCTTGTCTTATTTTGTTAAGATAGTTTCACGTATTCATCAGATCCTGTTCACAGCAACATGTAAAATAACCACAACAGCAATGGTAGTAGTAATTCGGAGTTACTTTATTTTCGTACCAAAAGAACCACGAATACAAAAATACAAAAACACCTTGACCACTGGCCACTCAGCTGTTTATATAACACCGGAGGAGGTAACATATTTCCTCCAGTGTCTGTAAGTCCCCAATTATCAAATGAGGCCTTCTACTTTACAGCATACAGTTGCGTTCCATTTGTTTTGATTGATATGCAGGTATTCTGCCGGGAAATAATGACTGATGAGCCGAGTTTGAGTTGCAGCTGTGCTCGACACATTCTCTTTTGCACAGATATCTTCCCATATGATGGAGGTATGAATCTATCTATTATCAAACCAGCTGGGCACACAGCAACTTGTTAAGGAGAAGGAAAAATTTAAATGACATACTGGTATGTATGTAATCCTTGCAAGGCGTATAATATAGAGTCATTGAAAGTAGGATAGCCGGTGGGGATGCACAGTACGCACGCTGATATCGACTAAGATCGAATGAATAAAAACAAAAAAAAGATTTGATACATTCAAAGCCTTTTGCAAATTGTTTCGTCTGTATCCTCGTGTCTCTCCTCTTTTTAAATCTAGAGTTCATCTCTATCTTTCTGTTGCTGAATTATTGCATAAAATTTGCATCATGAGTTCCGTAACCCATCAGTGTTGTAGGGGGTGCCACGTATTACGCAGGCACAGTGCGTTATCGGAAACAAGATAGCCTGACGGAACCCATCCCTTTCCAGACTGGTTTGAATTCAGAGTTTTCCTTGTCCTAGACTAGGCGCCAATCGAGGCTAAGGGACTGTTGTAATGGAATGTCCCACACTGCTTATCGCCTGTTGGAATGAATATATCAGTAGATATATATAGTGAGTACAGGATATACCTAGGGGATTGCTTCGGCAATTAGTTAGAGATTCGTCTCCAACTGTGGTGATCGAACTCTCTGTCCGAAGGGCAGAGTCTCATCTGGGGTGGTAGACATCTACCCGACCCCCTTTATACGGGTCTACAGGAATAGTTTTTAACCCTGCATTAAGAACAGCCTTGTGCCACATCCTGCACGCGGGGTTGGCGGGTAGGGTAAATATTATTGCTTCGGC